CCCGCAAGGGTCGGGGCCCGCCATCAAATCTCCTAGCTCGGGACCATGAAGTGCACGGTGTCCCAAGCCAAATCAGGGCTATCTTGTTTCTATGTCGCTTGATGAAGCGCACCAACTCTCTCTGAACCCCGCGGTCAAGCAGGTCACAGCCATGTCCATAGTCTATGTCATAGGCAATGGCGGTGAATGCAAGTGCTACCATAGCAGGCGACAAACGTGCGCACCCTGAAAAAAGTTCTATCGCAATTTTTTCATTGGCTACCGTTTTGTCTGGGTGGGTGAAAAAATCTTGGGCCCAGTTTTCTCATCTGCTCCTCGAGCTTCATGACTAGCTTTTGTGTCGCCTGTGGAAGGCGATGGAATTCCTGGTTTAGTCGACCATGTTGTTCGTAACGACGAAGGCTTGAATCTGCGGCCCAGCGTCCCCGTGCCTTGATCTCCAGAAGCGACCGAAGACGATGGCAGCGATCGTAAGACGGACCTGAGTGCCTTATAGTTGGTGCAGGACTGCGTGGTTGTGTTCCAGTCCTAGATCCACCAAGGCTTGTTTCCAAGCTGAGACCATCTCTGCGTGTCCCAGCTCGAAAAGAAATGGCCCGTCCGTCTGAAGCTGTTCCAACGCTTGACCCAACCAAAGGAGCTGCACTGAATCCAGCTGAATCGACTCTTCCGAGATCCCAACTTTTGAGGCCTCGTGTCTCTCGGCAGGGTGCAGGTGGAGCGTGTGGTGCTCCTGTCTTGGCATAGGTCTTACCAGGTCTGTCTTCTGGATCCCCAGGCATTCTCCCGGCCTCAGGTAGGCCGAAAACATGGTCAACACCGCCAAGGCCGCATGGTGCCGCGTTCGTGCCTGCATCTTCATTGCAATGCCGGCGACCAACTCCCAAGGCAGAGGTGGTCTGGTCTTCTGAGGATCGATCTTTGTCCAGCCCTGAAGTGCTCTGATCATTCGAGGCAGTGCTGACTTGTGGCCAAAGTCTGGGAACGCGTCTTTGACCGCCGCCACAAACTTTGAGCCCTCGTGGAGCTCTACGCCCTGCTCGAAGATGTTGTTCAGAAACAAGGTGCAGGCCTCGTCCAAGTTCTTCGCACTTCGAAGGGAAATCTTGCTCTGTCGTGCAAAGAATCTCAGATCGTTGGTCCTTCTGGTGTAGTCTTTCGCCACTGCTTCCGACACTGCTACTCGCTCCAGGTTTGTCTGTCCCTTGAAGCGAGGAGGATCGGATCTCTGTCTCGCTATCTCTGCTCGAGTCTTGGCCTTGTCGGCCGGCCTCCTTCCTGCCTGGCACTGCTAGCAGCTTGTCGAAGGTCTGGTTTGCCAGCTCCGGTTGGGTAGCAAACTGAGTCAACCCTTTCGAGCTGGATCTTCTCCCAGGCTCGGCCAGCAACATCTCTCTTTCTTTGCGATTCCCACCGCCGCGAACCTTTGTCGGCCACGTTCAACTCAGAGGGAATCCAACGAGGTGAAAGCATGGAATCGGCACATAGCAAAAGAGCACAGAGGCGCCTACACAACTTCAACATGGAAAAAGAGCTCGAGCGTCCCTTGGCGATCATGAGGATCATGCCCATGTTATCTCCGAGATGCAAGTGTCTCTTTCCAAAATGCTGCACGGCTCTAAATTTGTGTCTCAAAGAAATCACAACACCTCTGGTTTCCAGCAATGTAATGTGTTCCGGATGTTTCATGTGAACGGCAAACACCTCCTGCCACAACTCAGGCTGCAAGACGTTTTGGGGCACTTCAACGAACTTCTCATTCAACTCGAAGGGATCGGGTTGTTCAAGTTCTTGTTTCAGGGGTTTCACAGTTGAAGGGTCTGAAAAGGGGTCACCAAAGTTCAAAGCAGCTTCACGAGGAGGAGGCAGCTCTTTGTACTTGTATCGCCAGGGCTCACGTTGTGATCCTATCGCGGCTACCTCATCTCGAGGGAGCTCACGGCAGCACACCGCCACACCTGACAATGAAGCATCGCTTGCGGTAACCCGCCCACTCCAGTCCTTCCTCAAATCTACACTGCAAAGACCCAATAGAGCTGATGCCCACTTAGCTTCTCTTGCAGCAGAGGCAAAAAGTGGTCGTTTTTTCGAATAGCTCTTGTGCGCAAAGTCGTACATGGCTCTGAAGATCGACAGGAGTTCTCTACGTAGGAGCATGAAATGAACACAATGTCCGATGAGCCGCTCGACCTGTTTCCCCGTCACCCAGGGCTGCCTCGCCAGCCAGTCAAGCGCCAATCTGACCTTGTGCAGCCTCTCCGGAATGGGCGCCACCACACCTTTGGCGCCATCGACGAGGAAGCCGAGGCTTTGTCCAATGCTACATGCTTCCAACTCTTCACGCACTCGAAAACCGATCTCGCGAAGCCTATCAACGATCTTGTTCTTAACCTGCTGAACACGTTGTTCATCAATACCTGCCACATTCAAATTGTCAGCGTACGGAATGATGATCACCTCACCATCTGACAAATCTGGGGGCGCCTTGCTCTCCACGATCACGCGATCCAGACTAAGGCCTCCAGCCTCCATGCACAGATGCGTGTGGACCCTTTGTGCCACCCACATAGCCCAACTCCAACCCATCAGAACTACCCTCAACATCGGGAACGTCCAGCCTTCGGCGTCGCAGTCCACCTGATCCAAATCCAAGCCCCAGTCCTGCATGGTGGACTTGGCGATAGCAGGCAAACAGAAGAGGCTCTGTAGTTCATGAGGTAGAGCTAAACTATAAAAGTAGTCCTTGATGTCGGATTGGGCCAGATAGAGTGTAGAGCCCTCCGGGATGCACACCTGTGCCCAAGAAGTTCCGGCTCCAAGTGCCAGAGACGGAGGTTTTTTTGAACCGCGTGTTCACTGCTCTGCAATCCAAAATCAATCTCAAGCGTCCATTCTTCTTCTTCACAAAAAATGGTGGTGCTATCTCCCGGGGCCTCCAGGTGAAAGATATCATTCCCTTCGCATGTAGGTCCTGAATGAACGAGGTATATAGCTGTTGATCGTGCTGCAATCTCACATCCATGTAAGGCCTAACCAAATCACCCTTCTCCAGCACTTCACCCCACTCCTCATCCGAAAGGAGCATAGTCCGCAGGGGATCACCGAGAACTTGTCGTCCATGCTCATCCAAAACCTGGTCCAACGATACGGGATCGTCGCCGGTCTCAGGGAGGGATATCAAGTCTCGCTGATAGGGGCGCACTGTGCTGACAAAATCCTCCTGAGAGTAGGAGGAGTCGCATTGCAGAAGCTCTTGTACAGCCTCACGCATACTGCACTGTTGATGGGCCTTTGATTGACGGGCCAATTGCTTGAAGATGGCATGCTGACTGGACCTCTGTGCCAAAGTGCATTCACCCTGGGGAGAGACCTGCTGGGGAGCATACATCTCGTTCAAAGTATCTATAATTCTGTTGGACTCTTCAACCAAACCCCGAACTCGTGCCTTCCTTCTCCTCGCAGATGTCGAAAGGCCTGAGCCGGAGGGCGGTGGAGGAGCCCTAGGCAGTGGAAAAAAGCTCTCGCCACCGATCTTCACGAAAGGACGGGTTGAGCCCACGGCCATAACCTTCAAATTCTTCGGCAGGACACGCAGACATAGGAGGCACCCCTGCCGAATCAGCGCCGCCCTTGCCACTCATCATTTCTGATCTCCGCCGCCTCCCCCCTTCTTGTCACCGGGGTTTCGGCGGCGCGCTTGCGCTTCTTCCTTTGCCTTGCGGCTCTCCTTGAGGATCATTGCTTCCGACTTCAACTCCGCAGCAACGTGATGTGCAAGGTCGGGATCAACTCCATGTGCGCCCTTCCGATACTTCCAGCCCATGAAGAACTCTGCCGAACTGTAATCTGGGCTGGATGGCAAGATCCGATGGGCCTCTCGAATCACCTGCAGTCGTCGAACCAGCAACTCAATCCCCTGCAAGCCGCTGACGTTGAGCTGATCAACGGTCACAATCGATTCGAGGATGCGCGACAACACCTCATGCTCGTAGATCGACCGGTCACCCCTTGGGATCTCAGCACTTCGCAACCAAAATTCGTGAAATGAAGTAGGAGTCATAAATTGGTCACGAAGGGACTTGAGCACATTCAATGCAGTCGCCGGACCCTCTAGTTGAAGACCGCCTCCTTGGGGTGTTCCCTCAACCATTGCAGCGACCGCCTGGGCAAATTCTCTTCGCCTCACCCCCTGAGCATCAAAGGTGACGGGAAGAATTCGGAGGTCCTCGAGCTTGTAGCCTGCAGCACTGTCAACACGAACCTTCTTTGCAAAACAAGCCACTGCTGAACCATCTCTTGCTGGGACCAAAGCTTTCTCCCCAATCAACACATGACCTGGTGGCAAAACTCCGGGATCGGCGACCACGATCTCCCCCCGACTGTAACCTCCAGCCGTCTCAACACACACCCAACACATTCCAACCACTCCGGCTGGAGCAACTGCTGCTCCTCCCCCAGCGGGTGCTGCCACAGCTGCTGCCCCTCCACCCACTAGCACCCCAGGCAATGGGGCGACTGCCGGCGGAGGTGGAGCGACAACAGCTGGTCCCGCACCCATGGGACCCATAGGAGGAAGTCCTCTGTTCAACCGTTCAGCATCGGCTTGAGTGGTTGGCCAGGGTGGCAGGATCCATAGGCCGTAGATCTCATGAGCGGGCACTCGAGGAGGTACGGTGGTGCTTGCTCCGAGATAGATGAAATCTGTATAGTCGGGGTTGAGGTGATCAATCTGCTCACTGTATCTGTCGTAGTCTGGCGTAAGGATCTGCCATTCGTTGCCTTGGATGTGTCCAAGGAGGATACGCACGTGCCAGGTGCTTGGCACTTCGCCATAATGAACGAGCACAAGATGACCACTTTCCATCTTAGCCGGTCAGCGAAAGAACCTTGCCACTGACTCCCCACATCCCCTTTTTGCCTTTTGGGCTTCCGGCAGGTTGGATGTCCTTCTTGGAATACCAAAACCAAATGCCTCCACCAATGCACAACGTTAGCAGGACCAAAGTGCAATCCAGGAGGACGGTCCTCCCTCACTCACGCAGGCACAGCGACAATGGCACTGACAGGGGCGATCGTCTTGCGGCCTCTCAGTCAGCACCCTAGCGAACCACCCCAGACCCACAGCCCACAAGTGAGTGGGGAGCGCTCCAGGGTCCACGGCAAGCCTACCTCACCTGAGATCGTTCTTGAGCGTTGATGCAACGGCCCAAGTCGCTACCACTTCACATTAAAGTGCGAGCACAAGACATATATAATTCAGTGACATGCCTTTTATGCAAATGCCTACGCACGTGCACATAGAACAACTCGAGTCAAGACACTGGCTGGTTTTGAGCTTTTTGGGTCCATGGTAGCCCCGGCGTCCCGTCTTCTCACACGCCGTAGAACCAGCCAAACGATCTGTAACAGAATCCCGGATCGCACGGGACATCTTCCCCACGCCAAGGTTAAAGACCCCCCTGCTATTGCTCCATGCCTTTGTCCTTTTACATGTGAAGCCGCCGTAGAGTCTCATCCACCAGCTTTGGCGAAACACCTCCAGCAAAACAAATGGCCATTGGATAGACATATGTAAACAGCCAAAGATAAATAGATAGATAAATAGATAGATAGATAGGTAGGTAGGTAGATAGATATCTATAGATAGATAGACCGTTTTAGATAGTAGATAGAAATTAGATAGATAAATAGATAGGTCGGTAGATTGGCTAGCTAGCTAGATAGCTGGATAGATGGATGGATGGATAGGTAGATAGATAGATAGGTAGACTACGTGTGACCATCAACACGGGCGAACGATACAACTGAGTGCTGCCAATTACCTTCATGCGTCGGCACACTTCTCGGAGGCGTGGGTGTCGAAACAGAAGGCTGCTGGATGGTTGCTCTACTACCCAAACACCTCCTCGAGATGCTATCAAGTAGAGAAGCAAAGCTAGCCTCCAGGCAAGGTTTCTCTGCTGTCCAGACTTGACAATGAAAAGTGACCCTCCCTCTGGCCCAACGCTGAGAAGAAAATTGGTAGCCGCTCTCTAAAGTTTCC